GTCGTGGATTCGAAACCTCCCCTCAGATTAACCCTTACGCTGGCCCACCCGGATCCACCATGCTACTTCTAGGGTAGAAATGACGTGACTACTGTGGACTTAGAAGGATTAGTCTGGGCCCCAGCCTGGGACCCTCGGTTAACAAAAAAAAAAAACTTTAGTTAAGAAATCTTCCTCAATTTATACAAATTAAATATTATTATTTAAATTTGATTTGTCTAAGAATACGGGTTAAGAATTTGGTTAAATTCCGTGCTGCGGGTGGTTTAACATAATATGCTAATGTTCGAGACTTCGAGTACACTAAAATATGTGTCGTCACACTACAAGAAAAGAAGTCAACTATCAAGAGACTCAAGGTATTTCTTTCTACAAACAGTTAATGTTTTAACTAATTTCTGACAATTATGAATTTTTTTGAGTTTGTTGAAAATAGGTACTTCTCGATCCAATAATTTTTAAGATTGCTTAGGACATCAGCATCGGTTGGTTTCTACCACCATTTCTCAAAAAAACAAAAAACTACTATAATTAAAAGCTCTTATTAAGAGTTTATGGGCTATGCCACGTCAGCCAATAGGGACTGTATTTTCTGTCACATCACTATCATGTGGGATTGGTCAGGTCAATAATATGCTGATTTGTATAGGAAAACAACAAAGATTAAGCAGCAGAGTTGGTAAAACACAGCTCATGATCCCTCAAAAATCCGGGTTCAACTCCCACCAGTGACATTTTAATTTTTCTGACACCACTAATATCCAATTTTGGGACCACCCATGCATCTGCTACACCAGAAGGAGGGCGTTCAGCATCAAACAATCAGATTGTTGACCCAGAGCATGGAAAGAATATGCATCTGCTACACCAGAAGGAGGGCGTTCAGCATCAAACAATCAGATTGTTGACCCAGAGAATGGAAAGAATGGGGCACGATTAAGATTAGATCCACCTAGAAAACATAAATCACCATTACATTTCCTTATGTTTTATGTTGTCCTTTTCGTTTGGTTATGCACTATAATTTAGAACTTTATCTATTTTTAATTAAACTCAACGTGGTTGGTGGTGTTTAACCTATCAATATACATGTCTTCCTGTAAGCTCAAATTAAGTAAACGCAATATAGGCATTGAAGAACTCACTTCCTCTGCATGATAAAATGTGTTAAAATATAATTTGAGATGTTAAAACTATTCATCAAAAACTATTTATACAACTTCTGAGCTAATAGTGAGTAATGAAACATTATATATACATACACTCACAAAAGACCTGGAGAATAGAAATTCACAAAAAAAACCTTTAAGAGGAAGACATGACATGGTTAGAGAAAGCATGAGGATGTTGGTTTGGGACTCCCAGAGGTCCACAAAACGACTCAAAAAAAATGTTAAGTTAGAGTAAGTTTCTTATTAGACAGTACACTAATTTGTTGATATTTTGTTAGGAAGCTTTTAACTAAATAAACTCCTTTTTTTTTTTCTCTACGAACTCCTAACTAAATTATCGAAAATGTGTCAAAACAGACTATGGTGTTAGGCTGTTGTCTTCAATCTAATGACTTTATGTGGAAACTTAAAATGAAACTGAAACTGAAAATTTAACAATGTTTCTGGATTAATTTTCTGACACTTCTTACAGAGAGGCATATTATACTAACATGGTATATTATTCTCTTTAGTTGAAATCTATTTAAGTTTGCCAAGAGGTTTTCACATAGTTAGGACCAGTGTACACTTAAATATATAATTATATGATCTTTACTTGGCTGACATATTCATAGATAAAACTAGGGGTGGCATGGATCAAATACTACCATAATTTTAAGTATTTGCGGTTTGCTTTGTATTTACGGATATTTAATTATTCGATTTGCTCTGTTTCGAAAAATTACGGATAATATTTGTGAAAAAATTATAGATATTACGGATATTTCATCCACTTTGTTCAATATAAATATATTTTCTTAAGAAAAACTATACAAGTTTGTTTCCAAAAATATATTTTACATAACAAAGATTAGTGAAATTATATGTCTCAAAATTTTTTAAAATAAGTGAATTTTAAATAAAACATAAAATTTTAAGAAAGTTATAGTTTTATAAAGATTTTATCTTCCTTTCTTAAGTTAATACTTTTATATGTAATTTTTATAAATATAATTAATTAAATTATATATTAAAATAATAATTATATAAATCATGCATTTAAATTTCTATATTTAATTGTATATATACACTTATTTTTATAAAAATTGGAACGGATCAGATATCCGATTCTAATTTATTAGTAATTGTGATGTACTTTGTTTTTAATGGATATTGAATTTTAATATTTGCTTTGCTTCGAAAATTTATGGATATCCGGAATTTTCAAATCAAAATAGTCGATTCAAACTTTATGGATAAAATGTCCAACCCTAGAGAAACTGTTAAGAAGATTTCAAACACCCAAAAACTGATAAAACAGAATTGTTTCATTAATTTTTTGTAAGGAAACAAATCATAATTGCTTAGACTAGGAAATAAACTAAAACTACATAACCAAAGGCACCACATTGTTAATATACAGTCGTTAAGGCAACCAAAACAAATACATCATAAATGTTTCAAATAAACCAAACAGTCTTAAGAAAATGAATTTGTCAATAACACAAATAGTAAATAGTTAGTGATATAACAAGCATTAGAGCACCTCCAATGGAGATTCTTTTCATTTAAATTTTTAAAATATGTATTATGTATATATATATATATATGTATATATTATATATGTATAAATATTTGTGGAATCCTATAGAAGAATTCCCTTTGGAGGTGGTTTTAGGATCACAAACGAAAGGTCCAAAAAAATTGAATCAATTAATAGTTATGTATCACTTTGTTTTCTAACTTTTAAGGATATACAAAACTAACTTATGCAATTCACTATGATTCATTTAAATGTTAGATTTTCTTTCACTATGTCGAAGTGAAATAAAATAATAAGAATACATATATATATATATATATATTACCTTTTCTGAATTATTTTTGCTAATTTTATATTCTCCGAAAATAGAGAATAATGAAGGTTACTCTCCTTTTAATTCAAACTAAAAATGTTTAGTACAATCTCAGACTATTTATTATTTGTTTGTTCAATTTATAATGATTTAATGCTTCATAAAATTAAATAAATAAATATATTATAGTTTTTACTATAACTTTTTGTCTGTAGGGCGGACCAAAACCTCTAAATGAGTGCATGCTTATCAAGGATTGAATGGTTCTGTCCAGTTTAAGTTTCTATTTTTTCTCCATTTAGTTTCCTTTCAGTTTGCATCTTTTAGAGTTCTTTCCCTTTCCAAACAGTTTATCTATATAATTTCACCATTTTGTGAATGGTAACTGCTTATTGTTATGATTTTCAAACCACCTTTGCGCCTCTGATATGTGTTAATTATTCCTCTTTAAATATTTAGGAACTGATATCATAAAATCCTTACTGCACCTATGAATTGTTAAAAATTGTTAGTTTTTTTAACTATTACATATATTACATTGTTCATTACTGATATCATATAATTCTGTTAGATCCAACCAAAATTCAACTCCTTAAAACTATTTTCCTCAAAAAGAATAATACTGTTATTGGAATGATTATTTATTTTCAATTTTATGAAAGAGGAGTTTAAATGCATATATATACTACTAATGCATCACACCTTCTCTAACAATTGGTTACAAAAAAAAAATAAACTCTAATTATTTCATAAAACATTATACAACTTATGCCTACAAGCTTATATATATTTTTTGATATTGAATTTCAATAGTTCGAAAATTGTATTCCCCAAAACCATCACATAAAATAAAAATCCAAATAATTGAGATAAAGTAGTTACCCTAAATATAAAAGTTATATACAAAAAAAACTATAAAATAAGATAAAAAAAAATTGAAGTTTATGGAAAATAATTTGGGCGTAGCCCGAAAAAATCTATAGTAATAATAAAAAGAGATGAAAGAGAATGTAGAAAGTAGGGAATAGAAACGTAAAAATCTCTCTCCAACCATATATTATTATTGACATTGGATTGACATTGGAGAGACTTCAAATAACAAGTGACATATTTTTAGTGGTTCACTTTTGTTTATGAATGAAAAGTTAATTACAAATTTTAAATTGAAAATAATTATATTATACTTGTGAGAAACTAAGGACCAACTTAAAGTCTCACCAATAATCACAAATTTCATCAAAGTCCCACAACAAAGTCCTAACCTACAAATATTAATAAATAAATTTTAAAATTTGATCAAAAGTTCCAGAGATGTGGTTGCTCTAAGATAATTATCTCCAACGATGCAGATGGCCTTAGTTTGCTGAAAATTGGTCAGAAATTCTCAACATTTTATTCTTTACGAATTAATCAATTAGATAGAAATAAAAATTATTTATAACATTTCATAAGAAACTGATCAAAATTTTCACTAAATTCTAATTGATTAATATATATATATATATATATATATATATATACTATTTAACAAATTCTTCTAGTTTTCTTTTTAAAAATCAAATCTGATAAATTTAATCTAACTAATCGAAAGTTATTTCTTTTTGAGTACGGTTGTGCCGATTTCCTTCCTTCGCATCTCTTGAATTCTTTTTTTTTTTGTAAGCTATCTCTTCAATTCTTCTCTGTATTTTTTCGCCATCAATCTCCATTATTTTCCTTTTCTCAGTTATCATCCCTCGTCATTTGTCCATGACAACCACCACGAAATGCTTTGTATTTAAGTACATGTATAATTATGTAAATATAAATCTTTCACACGCTACTTAAATTAAGAAGTCACATCATATGCATTGAGTTTCTTATGTATACAACTCTATTTTCTTCATCTGGAACACGTTTAATATTAAAATATTAGGTTAATCAAGAGCCCAATTACGTAAGTAAAATATTTAGCTTATTTTCATATCTTTCGTCAAGATAGAAGCAAAAGAAAATGAAGATATCAGCAAGTGGTTGCATCTTTCTCCTTGTCTTCATCTACATTACAATTGTTTTGAGTGCACCACCAGGGGGAGAAGTTGGTAAGCTATATAAATTGTTGTTTTTATAATTTATATTATGTTTAGAGATGCTAATATATCCACATCAGTTTAACGATGAAAAATTTATTAAAGATAATATTACAAAAAAAACTTAAGAAGACTTGTTAAACCAAAGTTAGGCTACCACATGTTTAATTTATTTTTTATTATTATTTTAGAAATATGTTTTATTGTGTTTGAGTATAACAAAGGGACAAAAATTCAATTGAATGGGATTCGAATAGAGGACGAAACGGAGTTTAGCTACGAGGCAAAAGGACCCAAGGGGCCAGCGAAATGGGGGACACTAAAGGCAGAGTGGAAGATGTGTGGAACTGGAAAAATGCAATCTCCGATTAATCTTACGGACGGAAATGTCAAAGTTACTAGTAAATTTGGATCTCTGCGTAGCCAGTATTTACCTGCCAATGCCACTATTAAGAACAGAGGGCATGATATCATGGTAAATCAACTATTAAACTTTCCAATATATATATATATAAACTTCTAATTTTAAAAAATAATAAAATTAGAGTAGATCGTGGATCTAATCCCTAGCTATTTTAAGACTATCTCTAATGTATTATTTTATATTCTCTCTAAAATGTAATAACTCCAAAATAGAGTTAAGTTTTACTTGAATTATGAATTTAGAAAAGATTTACGCTAAAAGAAAGTTTAGAATGAAAAATCTAATAGAGTTTTCATTTCAAATAAATTAAAATAGAGTTGCACGGAGAAAGTGGAGTTTCTATTATTATATTAAGCATATTTGCAATGGCTATTGAACAGTCCAAAATGTAAGGTTTATAGTTTCTGGGATTTCAGTCCATGGCTCTAGCCTCTAAACCCACCGAGGAATTCTTCACCGTTCAAACCACCACTCCATGGTCATTGCATTTTTGGTCATAATAATGTACTTTTTTTTGTTAATATGGCAGTTGGAATTTAAAGGAGGGAATAAAGGTATAGGTATCACTGTTCGTGGAAAAAAATACAAACTTCAACAGCTTCATTGGCACTTTCCTTCCGAACACTCAATCAATGGCGAAAGGTATATCTATTCGTACATTTGTATTCTACCATATCGGTGTTACAAAAAAAAAAAAGTATTCTACCATATCTAATAACGTAAAGATTGCTGATCTGTTAAACAGAACACAAAACAGTCTAAGAAATGGCTACCCTATCCTACTCCAACCCTAGCCTCTCTCAATCTGGTTTGATAGAGTGCAGTGATAAAAGTTCCAGACTACCCTTCCCCTCCCTTTTACTTCACATGAGTTTCTGTTTTCCATTCTTTGACTGTAATGTTTTTTTTTTTTTTTGGTAAGATGCAGGGGAAGAGCCCCTACTTTTATTAATAAATCGAAATCAACTACAAACTAGTTTGACAAGGTCTCGCCGTCTCATTCGAACTCTCCAACATACTAGAAGCAACATGCTCCGGAATAGTCCCAAAATAATGCAAACCAAACTGTAAAGTAAACGCATAGTTAGCTAATCCATCGGCAAGACGATTAGCCTCCCTATACACATGAGAAATCTTGACTATCCAGTCTCTTGTTATTAAGCCATAGCACAAACGTACTAGGAAGGACAGGGGATGAGAATCATGGATCCCTGTATTAAGATAACCTACCACACTTTCCGAGTCCACCTCTACTTCCAGCCTCCGAATACCATTATCCCATGCTATGCAAAGACCATAGTATACCCCCCCACAGCTCTGCCAAAGGGGCTGAACAAAACCCGATATTGGCTGCAAAACCCCCTCTCCAACATCCATGTTCATCTCGTAAGGCTCCTCCTGCCGCAGCTAGACCAGGATTACCTCTAGAAGCTCCGTCGGTATTTAACTTAACCCATCCGTTTCCCGGTCTAGACCATAAGATTTGTCTCTCCACCTGTGCAGCAATGGCGGAGTGCACTCTCAGCTTCGCATTCGCTTGAATCACTTCCTGAGCTTTATCTTTCACAAATTTCACTCTATCTCGACACTTCCCTATATCCCCAAACACATAACCGCACCTCCACTTCCAGCACCACCACACTGTCAATGCAAATATAGATGGCCACTGATCTCCGTTAGCCGGACTTTGAGCAAGATTCTCATATAGCCATTCCAATAAATTTAGGCTAAAGAATCTTTGTTGTGTACTTGGAGTCACCAATTTCCTCCATAGACCTCTAGCTGCCGGGCAATCACGGAGGACGTGAAGAATGGTTTCATCGCCGCCTTTGCAGAGCTGACAAATGCCGTTATCGCTCAAATGCCGTCTCTTGCGCTCCATACTCGTCATGATAACTTGATGAGTAACCAACCATAAGAACACTCTGACTCTCTCTGGTACCATCACCCGCCACACTCTGAGATACAGACCTTCCATATTCTGCCGTGGAACTGCATCTTTAGTTAAGAAAGCGTACGCAGATTTTACCGAGAAAAGGCCATCTTTAGCTTCTCCCCATGATAATCTATCGCGAGCTCCGGTTACCTCATCAACCACCAGTGTTACTAACTGAAGTCGATTTTGTACTGATGTATACGGCTCAATCTGTGGAAGACTCCACCCTATACCCTCCTGCCATAGATCTCTGACTCTTATGTTCGCTATCTCCTCTGGAATCTCTACCATACTTGAATCATACAACGGTTCATTCAGCAGCCATTTGTCTCTCCAGAATCGGACCCGACGACCATCTCCCACGATCCAACTCACTCCTGGAATAACAACTTCACGAATCCCCAGTATCAAGCTTCTCCAAGTTGGCGACCACCTTCCCTGCGGTACCAACCAAGAAAAGTCCTCCAGCTCTCCCACCCGAAATTTCTTGCGCAGTATATTCACCCATAGGCCAATCTCTGTATTCAGCATCCTCCATCCAAGTTTAGCTAACAAAGCAACATTCATCTCCTTAGCTGAACGTATACCAAGCCCACCTTCTCTCTTTGGTTTACAAATCTTCTCCCAGGAAACCAAGTGTTGTTTACGCTTTCCATCGATACTACCCCAAATGAAAGATCTTGCGATCTTGTCCAGTTGGTTTAGCGTCGCTACGGGTAAGGCTATCGAGCTCATAGTGTGTACTGGCACTGATGACAGAACAGATTTCGTTAACGTTATTCTCCCTGCTAAACTCAAGAATCTCCTCTTCCATCCAGCTAATTTAGACGAGACTTTCTCCACCACTTCACCAAAGGTTTCTTTGTTAATTTTCTTCTGAAGAACAGGCATACCCAGGTACTTCCCCAAATCCTTTGTGCCTCTGATTCCACTCTCATGGCTTATAGCATTTGCAAGATCCCGGTGCACATTTTCAGAGAAGAAGATAAGTGATTTCTCCAAGCTTACTTTTTGGCCAGAAGCTGCACAGAAACACTCCAGTACGTTACGTATGATTCGAATCTGTGATAGCGACGCTTCTGCAAACAAAATCAAGTCATCCGCGAAGCATATATGTGACAAGGATGGTCCTCCTCTAGACAATCTAATCGGTTTCCATTCCTTCTTGGCTACTGAGAACTCAATCTGGTGACACAGCCTCTCCATACATAAGACGAAGAGATACGGAGACAAGGGATCTCCCTGTCGCAGTCCCCGCTGCGGAGTAAAGGCTTCGGTTCTCTCTCCATTCCACAATAAGCTCATACCAGGATTCTTCACACACTCCATAATCCATTGGATCCAAATCCCTGGTAACTGTGCTGCGTATAGAGTATCCTCCAAGAAATCCCACCGGATTCGATCATAAGCTTTTTCAAGGTCGAGTTTGAGGAGCATCCATCCTTTTCGACCTTGTTTTCTCCTCATCGAGTGCACCGCTTCCTGAACCACGACAATATTATCCGTACTAAGTCTTCCTGGGATAAAGCTAGCTTGTGCCGGTCCTATTAGCTCTGGCATTAGCTTCTTTAGTCGCATCACCATCGCTTTCGTTATTGTCTTGAACAAGACATTACATAAGCTAATGGGACGAAACTGCATGATCCTTTCCGGTTTGAGAACCTTCGGTATTAGCACCACCATCGCATCATTCATCCCCTCCTTGAGCCGTCCAGATTCAAAGAATTCCAGCCCACAGCGAGTTACAGATTCACCTACCACCTCCCATGATTCTTGATAAAAAACAGGTTGAAACCCATCCGGTCCTGGAGCTTTATATTTACCCATCGAGCGAACCGACTCCTCCATATCAGACGCCGAGAAAGGCTTATTTAAATACTCCAGCTCATCTCTCTTTAGTGTGGTAAAGCCTTGTTGCGGTAGCTTGTCTGTATCCAGCGATATGTCCTGGGTTGAGTATAACCTTTTGTAATAATCAATTGCTAGTTTCTCCAACTCTTCTTGCTCCTCTATCCACCGGCCCGTCTCATCTTTTAACATCTCAATTCTGTTTCTCTTCCTTCTTACAATAGTCATCGTGTGATAGAAGTTTGTATTTCTATCCCCGAGAACTATCCATTTCTCACGCGACTTCTGGTACCAGAGCACCTCTTCTTGTTCAAGGACAACATCAAACTCTTTTTGTAGAATCGCCTCCTTAGCTATCAGATCATCAGTTGGGTTTACCTCCAAACTCTTCTGAATTTCTTCAATCTCACCAAGAAGTTTTTCTTTTCTCATACGCACATCCCCAAATATTTCTTTATTCCATTTTTTGAGTTTCACTTTCAGAGCTACTAGAGCTTCGGGTGTACTCATCTCCCCATTCCAAGATGTTGATAGCAACTCCTTAAACCCATCATGTTTGAGCCATGCGGCTTCGAATCGGAATGGTCTCCTTGCTGGGTTTACTTTCCGTGCCGGTGCCAGTTGTACATACAATGGTGTATGGTCCGATGCTAAGAATGGGAGATGGGAGACCACCGCTTCTTGCCATCTTACTCTTAGCTGTGGATTGCACAGCACCCTGTCAAGACGCTTTGCCACATAGTTACGTGTGTCTTTACCTCTCCTCCAGGTGAACATGCTTCCCTTGAAACCCATGTCAACCAAGGCTGAATCATTGATCCAATCCCCAAAAGCCAATGAATCCGGAGAAATACGGCCATTTCCTCCTGTTCTCTCATCCAACCTCAAAATAGTGTTAAAATCTCCACCTAGTAAGACTTGCCCATCAATATTCTCAACCAAGTCTTTCAACGTGCCCCAAAGACCACTTCTACGACTAACCGTAGGGGCTGCATAAACAGCTATAATGTGGATCGGCTCCGACCCAAGCATCACCCTAGCATGGATGTACTGATCCGCTGATCCCACAACTGTAACCGCACACGCCTGCTCCATCCACAAAAGCCATAGTCCCCCACTCTGTCCTACCGCATCCACACGAAAGGAGTTATCAAACCCCAGACTTTGACAAATTTTCATTGCCTTATCTCCTCCAGCATGTGTCTCAAACAACGCAAGAACATCAGTATCAAATTTCTTCAATATATATCTTATGGAACGTCTAAAGTTGGGTTTATTTGCCCCCCGGCAATTCCAGAATAAACAATTCATCAGGTTTAAACTCACAATCTCGTAGCGAACTGCCGGGGCAACCCGTTATGCAAGGGATAACCCCCTCTCCTCCTCCTGGGGAGTCATCTGCATATCAACTCCACCTATTCCTCTAATATTACTCTCCATCGGGTTTTCTAGTTCCTCGTCACGAAGTTGTAGTCGCGCATCCATACTTCTCTCTGCAACTACCTTATCTCCGAAGACTCCACCAGGTCTCCCAGCCTCACTAGTCTCCACCCTCAGTCTTTTGCCAGATTCTGATAAGCTAATCTCTCCCTTAGTCGGACCAAACACCAGTCCTCTCACCGGCCTGCTGTTTGTTCTTTTAGGTTTCACTTTAGCTCCCTCTGTCGTTTTTCTATTCCCAACCCCTCTCTCCTGGGTCCCCATTTGCAGCCCAGACGTTACACTAGCTTTGCTACCAAAGGTAATAGCTACATTATTCTTCACTCCTCCCTTCCTTTTACTATCTGGCACATTTATATTTCGGTTCTCCTTATCCTCTTGTCCAGACTTCCCATCCTCTCTTACTTCCTCTATATTC